TGAGCCCTTAGCAAGGGGCAAGAGAGATTAGTCAGTCTCATTGGGAACTTGGACTCTGCTTACAGGTTGACTAAGCAACAAGGGGCCTGGGAGGGGGCCTGGCATTCTACAATAAAACCACCTGATGGTACCCACTAAGAAAGTGGGCCCCATGTGCCCGGAGACAGTTATCACGTTTTCTTCTCAACGTATATTCATGCCACCCAAGTCCCCAGCCTCTACCTCATCCTGCCCTCTGAGTTGCATTCATGAGGTGGCCAACCGAGGTAACATCGCCACATCAGGCTCTCCGGGCTTCAGAAATAGTGAGATTAGCCTCCGAGTTACATGGGCTAGCTAGCTGCCGAGCTCCAACTCCTCACACACTGGTAAACTAGTTTTGGAAACTGACAGGAATCATTACCTTACTTCTCCCACAGTTGAGGGAGAAACAAAAAAGCCGTAAGACCCGACTCCATTGGCCCCTAAAGTCAGAAGTACGGGTGTGATTTAAAGGCTGGAAAGCAATGGCAAGCCTCCTTTCCATGCTCGTAAAAAAATAAAAAAAATTCTTTTGGAAGCTCATCACAGTGAAGTGAGAAGGAAACATGGGAGCACACAGAATCACACCTGGAAAGATGGATTTCCTGTTGCCAACCTCATCAATGAGAGAGGTGCTGCTGAAATCACACGCCTTCTTCTGCACACCTTGGTGAACATGTCCAGAAATGGCATGTCCCACTCCACCCGATGAAGCCGATTCCCTTCCCTTTGGTATAAACTAAAAGTGTCACTCTTTCCCCCACCTTTGGTGTCTTCTTCAACATCCCCTGAGCCATCTCAAACTCTCAACACCCTAAGTCTGGATGCTAAGCCAAGCGTCCTGGCAATTGTGAAAGCTGATACAAATGGCAGGGTAAGCCTTCCTGTCACTCAGAAGGCCCTGACTCAGAAAGGCCAGGAAATGCAGGGCCAGAAGAGCAGAAGTCTGCAAGCCACTCCCTCCCACCCAGTGATAACCTCCTTCATCTGTAGGGCAGGCATCAGGGATCTCTCTGGCCTGCACAGCCGTCAGTGTCAGGGACTGGGGGCAGGGGTGCTAAGCAACAGCAGAGGTACCACAGCCAATAGGATACAGGTTAGAGGGTAGATAAGACAAAGGAAGTAAATATTCTAGCACAGAAGAGGGAAGTCAGAGCAGTCCCTGCTCCTGTCTGTCTGTCTGTCTGTCTGTCTGTCTGTCATGTGGGTCCTATCTACTTGGAATAATTTACAAACCAGTCAAACTTGGCTCTCATTGATCTGTTTGTACCTTGTCACTGGTATCGACCCCAGTAAGGAAGTCACCACCATGCATCCCCCAAGGGAACATCAGTAAACAGTCAATGGGTATTGGCTATTTTATCATCGGTATACACAACTGGCTAGAAGTATGTGTGTGCATGTACATGTTTGTGTGGGGACATGGGCACATGTGCATGTGCCGGTCAGAGACTGGTATCTGATGTCTTGCTCTTTCACTTTCCATATTATTTTTCAGGCAAAGTCTCTCATCATGGCCCCTGGGCTCCCAAGATCTGCCTGTCTCCCCCTCCTCCCAGCTTTTACGTGGGTGTTGCGGATTGGAACTCAGGTCCTTACGTTCATCTGGCAAGCATTTCACCAACTGAGCCATCTCCGTCTTCCCAGTCTTAGGAGAAAATGTAAAGTGCAATCCATGAGATGTTGCATGGTTTGAGCAGCTAGTAGAGGGATAGCCTACTCCTCTGGGTCGACTGAATCTTTGAGCATCATGTAGACTTGCTTCCTTCTCTCTGTTATGCTCATCTCTGTTTAAAATTTTAGAAAGAGACAAGACTCTATTTCTCCATTCTCTTCACTAGTTTATACTGAAACTACTGGGCTATTTTAGTTGATGTTATGAAGAGAAATTTCAATGAGAGAGTGAAGCTGGGTGCACTCTCAGCCCAGGCATTCGGCAAGAGGTGCCGGGGCTACTTTTGGCTCGCAGCCACAGCCCACACTGGCAAAGCTACAAAGATAAGAACGGTGGCTTTTTAAGCATCTCACTTAAGCAGTGACCTCTGTGCTCAAAGGCACAGAAAGGAAGGATCCCTTATCTGAAGGTTTGTAAGTCAACGTGCCAAACTGAGAAGCTTCGTTAAAGACTATTTAGTGGTGTGCAAATTTATGTGTGCATGTGTGTGACTGCCTGCGTGTCTGAGTGTGTGTGTGCATGTGTGAGTGTGTGCACTGTGTAAGTGTGTTTGTGTGAGTGCCTGTGTGTGCCTGTGAGTGTATGTGTATGTAAATGTATGTGTGTGTGACTGTGTATGTGTGTGAGTGCCTGTGTGTGTGAGTGTATGTGTATATGTATACGAGTGTGTGTGTATATGTGTGCACGCTTACACACGTTCATGAGTTTCTGTGTAAAGTAGTCAGGGCAGAGTACATGTTGTTGAGTCTTGCTTCTCACATTTCTAGAAAGAGCCCATGTATTGTCTCTTGTTTGTTTGTTTGTTTGGCTGGTTGGTTTGGCTTTAGTTTTTGGTTTTGTTTCTGAGTGAAGGAGGAACTAGCCTCAGAACAGTTGAATAACTTGCCCAAAGTCACATGAGAAGTGACAGGATTCCTGCCTAGGCCCCATTCTCCTTGCAGTGGAGCACTCTTAAAATAGACTGTGCAGATAAAGGAGCGGTGGCCTGGCTGGAAGTGGGTATGATTCACAGAGAAAAGACTTCAGATGCTAATCATACGGAGGAGGCTTTGGATGCTAAACGGAGCAGCTCGCTGGGTATCTGTCGATGCCGTTGTACCCTGTTTGTGTCCCTTGGCTCCTTGTGCTGGGCATAGGGGGATTAAATTCCAGCAGGTAGGTATAAGTGCCCTGAAGATTCCAATGTGCATTTGAAGGACCTGTCCCCTCTGGCATGTGATCACAAATTGACTCCTGAACACTGGGAGGTCTTTTTAGGAAGGCTGATGTACCTGCCCAGTGAGTGTTTGTTATATTATAATGTGACTAACTAACTTACTGGTGCACAGTGGTAGCTTCTGGTGTAGAAGCTTGGGAGAGAAGGAACAAGAAGGCACGTTCTTCCACAATATTTCTTAAAAAGTCTAGCCACTGTCATGACTCCAGCGCTGGAAGGGGATTCCAAGGTTGTCCACACAATCAACCAGTGCTGTGACAATGGAGACTTTGAAAACATTGACTTTAAAATAGAGGGGGCTTAGATGGTACCATGGTTAAGAGCACTTGCTGCCAAGCCTGATGACCTGAGTTCAATCTCTGGGATTCACATGATGAAACAGAGAAACGGCTCCCATAAGTTGTCCTCTGACCTTCTCACTCTTTCCTCTCTCTCTCTCTCTCTCTCTCTCTCTCTCTCTCTCTCTTTCTCCCTCTCTCTCTCTCTTTCTCACATGTAATAAATAAATAAAAAGATGGCAGATCTGAATTCCAAGGACCCCTATTTTTAATGCATCCAATAGAAGAGAAATGTCATTTACAACATGTCTGGCATGAACCATATTGGTCTTGGACAATAAAGATACAACTGGTAGCTTGCAGAAAAACATTCAAACTTTCCAGGAAAATATCTGACTACCCCCTTGTGAAGCTTGCATACTCCATTCTTTATAAGCCCATAATTGATCTGCATTGCCCAAAGCACTGGGGAACAAAGCTGGGAAGTAATGAACACTGAGAATATGAGGGTTCAGGTCTCTTTACAGACAAAGCTGGGTCATAGGCATTCTTCTTTCCCTTGACATAAGGATATTTCTAGGCATCCCTGGGTACTTATCTATAAGAAGAAAACAAGAATACTATCATGAAGTCCCTCAAATTCTGCCCTCAAAGTGGCACACCATCTAGTCAAGAAGAGTCAAAGAATGGATCAACTTTGTCAAGTCACAGCTATCTGGTCTACCCTTTCCCAGGGGTTCAGTCTACAGAAATCTCAGCATACCCCCACCTCCAGCTATTGTTGCCCAGGCCAGCAGGGCTCAGCAGATGCCTTTGTAAGTACTGGGAGCTTTGTTCTTCTGGTCTCATGCAGTCATCACATGGATGAAAACTGTTTGCCGAGGCTCCACATCAGACCATAAAGAAATGCCTGACTCGTAGCTACACACCTCTCATTGTTGCAAGGATATGGCTTCCTGGGAATGGCCTGTATTGCTTTGCATGCATCTAGAATATATCAATATATAAGAGGAATACACAAGCTACTCATCCCCCTCAAAAGCAAGCACAAATAATAACAAAAGAAAGGTTAGTGCAAGATGGCTCATAGACTCGAAGCCCTCGCCTCCATGCCTGAAGGCTCCAGTTTGATCCCTGGGATCTACAGGATTAGAAGGAGGGAACCAACTTCCACAGGTTGTCCTCTGAACTTGATGTCCACTCTATGACTCAGGCATACCCCAACTCAAGACCTCAAATTTGTGTGCACACACTAAACAAGCAAAGAGAAATGCAACTAAAATTTTTGAGCAAAAAAAAAAAAGATGTGAGTGGATATCTTTTGAAATATGCTTAGTAAATTCTCATGCCAATCACAGGGCTGCTCACTAGCCATCTCTAGACTTCCTAAGAAGCAGCTCTGTAGTTACAACTGCATACAATATGTTCATGTCAGCTCAGCCAGCACCCCAGAACACAAATGAAATCATTCCATATTTGCCCTTTATTTCAGACTTTCTAGTTCCCTTTCCTGTGGCCAACTGGGTCTTCCATATAAGCTGAGATGGATGACGGGAATGAAAATGCCCATGGGTGAGTCACGATGTTTCTGATGGGAAGCTCCTGGTTACTGCTCTACCTGACAATCTGCTGAAATGTGCTTAAGTAAGAAACCATCACAAAAAACAGATTCAGAGTCTTTCCTAATCACAAAAAAACAGATTCAGAGTCTTTCCTAATCACAAAAAAACAGATTCAGAGTCTTTCCCAAAGAGCAAGAAAATAAATAAAGGAAAGGGGAGATGACCAAAGAATGAAGACTGGTTCCTACCTCAAAGTCATTTGCTTTGTTGTAGTGCATGTTGAGGGCTCGGTACAGCTCACAATCTCTGGTGATAGACAGCTCTTCAGTGCTGGTGACTCCATCATTGATGGCTTGACGCGCATACTTCTCCATCTGAATATAATAAAACTCACGGAAATTGCTGAACCACTTGATGAGCTGGGAGGTAATGCATCTGTTGAACTGTTAAATTTAAATGTGGAAAAACGTGAGCATGCCACTGCTGTTGTGAGTTTTCTTAAGCACTTTTAAAGTTTCACTCCCCACTTTACCTGAAAGGGTAGGTATTAAGAACCACCAAAATGGCGGCCAAAGGAATGAACGTCTCCTGGAATATAAGAGAGCGTTCCAATGACAGAAAACATATCACTGCTTCATTCTGTGCTTCAGATAGAGAACTCATATTCTAAATCAGATTTTCCTTAAAAATATGCACAGTGTGTTTCTGTGAAGTCTACAGATGAATGTGAATTGTGTATATTTTTAAAATATGGATTTCTATCACTGCATGGTAATCCCATTCAATGAGGGAAACGTGCATTTCAGTAAAATGACAAGACTGGGTTTTGCATGGGTTTTGGTACTGGGTGACCCCATATCCGTCTATCTCTCCATAATCTGTCCATTCTAAAGTTTGCATACAGTGTTCACTTCCAGTGTGGTCAGGGGAGACCCTAGTACCTGATCCTATGCTCTCTGCATCCAGCACTGGAAGGCCCAGGGCCCCTTCCCTTGACAGCTGTGTCACTTGGGAGACGTGGTTAAGACGAAGTTCACAGATGGCAGAGAGATAGGACCTTTATTACTTTTTTTTTTTTAAATGCCAAGTGACGATAGCATGAAAGTCTGCTATCAGGCTTTGAAAGTCTGTTTACCCAGGCTTCCCAACAACCTTTGAAATGAAGATGTCTTCCTGGGCGCTGGCAAATGGTCCTGTCCTTATTGACTGCTTTCTTCATGACAAGGACAGGTGTGTCCTAATGTGCCAAGTCAAAACCAATAAATCCATCGCTTCCTATAAGGCAGGCTGACAGACACCCCTGCCTATTGTCATTGGGATCATTCCTTTCCCTGGGACCTCCAGAAAAAGGGTGTATATCCATCAAAAATCAAAAGGAACACTTAGGAAATCCTGGTCCTGAGACTATCCAGGCTGCAACCAGATGACAGTTAAAGTGTGTATGGGGCTGTAATTACTGCGGAAAGTTGTTTCTCTACTAGCAAAGATAATAAGTGAATGAAAATTTATGGTGGAGAATGGAAGTCACGAGGAAACAGACGCAGGAGGCTGGTGTTCCTCCCAAAAGGCCATCTTGCGTCCTAATTGCCGTGGAGTTGCAAGGGCCCTTACAGATAATTGACCAGAAAATGATTAAGTCATCAGCAAACCGCTTCTGCTTGCAAGAGTTCAAACATGTACTTAACCTGTCCAAGAATTATATTTTCACTCTGTGCGTCTGCTCTGTCTCCATTCAGCCTCTCGGGGAACCCGATTAGAAAGACAACTGAAGGACCCCCGTTATCTGATCTTCTGGTGGCCGATTTCAATAGAACTTAAACCCATTACGATTTGCTGAAGTCGGACTCCTTCCCATTTATCTCAGCAGTAAAATACACTGTCCAAATTTCCAGACACTGAGATAAGGCCTACAGGCCCCCGTGACGGCTAACTGTTCCTTTTTAATTCTTTTAGAACAAGAAACAAAACATTACAAAATGATAGCAGGCTGGTGCACTGGGGAATAAAAATTGCTTTGACATGGAGATTAGGCCTCTGTATTGTTACAAGACATTGTCTCATATGGACAAGAGTACTGTAGGGGGAAAAAAAATAGAAGGGTATTTTTTTTTTCTAGAATGGTCATGAATGACCTAATGGAGGGAGACAAAAACGTAAGTGCCCTTGCCATTCTGTACGAATGGGACATAAAGGGAGATTTAAAGGACATTGTTGGAGGCTGGAAATACCAGAGAGAGAGAATGGGCAGGAACAACAGACTCCAAACACGAGATAGGCAAAATGAGCAGTACCCACGGCCCAAGAGCAGGGCTTTCCCCACCAGACACCGAAGGGAAATGAAATGTGCTATTTTTTTTTTTCACTCCCGGCTGAGAGCAAAATGCTAGCAGCCTGTTCTCTCGATCTTCACGTGGAAGGAGGAAAAAGTATTCAACTTTAAAAGAGTTAATTCCGAGCGCTCTGCGTCGTGCTTTTGTGAGCAAAGGATCAATTGTTCTGTAAAGGCAAGCTCTGTGGTGTGTTAATGTGTTACTGCACAAACTAATCGCTTCAATAAAGAGACTGTGTTTCCAGAGTGTACGAGTCTCTGTGACGTTGATTAATGCTTCCCACGGGACATCTCAGCCTCAATATGGGCTGGAGAAACTTCCTAAATATTCAATGAGCATGGTCAAAAGATGTATAAAACAAATCAACCTGACACCTTAATCCGGCTAGGCAGCAGTTGACTCAGGGGGTGGAGGAGAGGAGATACATCATTTAACATTGCAGGCTTGGAAGCCCGTGAGCGCCTGTTCTTCAAAGCTGAAATGACACGGAATCTGTTGTGCTTAGTGGCCTAGGAGTTATTGGTGTGTACATTAAAATCATCTGGCAGTGAGCAGGAAGGCAGAGAGCGGCCCTTCCATCCTGGCATCCTCACACACTCACACTCTACTTCTCAATGGACCTGAAATCACAATGGGTAGAACTGCTTGCCTAAGAGTCCTCTGGAGGGAGAGCACACAACTTCAGATTTTCACTGGAACGGTTAAACTACGCCGGTCCAGGATTTGTCTCCTGTTTTCTGTCATTCCCACACCAACATATCTGAGTGCCTGTGATTTCCTTCTAACTCCTCCCCTCCTGAGTAATTGGAGAGCATCTATCTCCTTCTGCAGTGGGAGCCACTTGGGGATGGTTTGCACTGGGTCCAGGCCTGGAGGGAGGCATGAAGTCGTGTGTCTTGTGCAGTCTGGCCTCACCTTCAGGAACTTCCTGAAGGTTGAACTCCATCTAACACCTGATCTCCAGCTAGGGCTGTGACAGCATCCAGGTAACACCTAACTCAAGAAATTAAATATTTTCTGCATACACTGTTTCTTTGGGTTATTTTATTGCAAAACTAGTGTCTAGTCACTATTTGAAGTGGAAATGGCTCGACAACTTGAGAAAGTATATTTTACTGGATTAGGGCTTTATTAGATGAATGTGCCACAGCCAAGTGTTGTATGTCTTTTTAAGATAACTGTGTGGCGTTTTCGATGAAGTTCTAGGGTTCCCTCTCCCCATTCCCAGGGCTCACCCAATTCTGCAGTGGTTTCTCAGATCTTAATTACAATAAAACTTTTCACTGTGCACACACATATAAACCACATCATCTAGTTCTCTTAGCCTTGCAAAAAATACGGATATGATTTATGTGGCTATATGTGCTACAGAATCACGTGCACATGTTTGTGCGGAGGTGGAGAATCAAAACTCAGACTCGGAGTCACCCTCTCTTTAGGGGAGTTTCAGCCAGCTCTGCTGTTGCCCTCTGGAAGTTCTGAAGCACCCCGCTGAAACTGCTTCCCGAGCCGGTCGTCTTAGCACTACCACTTCTATCAGCTCAAGGAATACAAACTCACTTATTACTGGCCAAGTTAAAAGATGTCACTAGCAAAGTTAAAACGTCTAATTCATTCCAAAAGTAAAAGAGGAAGGAGCGTCCCTGGTTTTCTGCAGTGGGTTGCACATGCAACCTCTCCCTCTCATCAAAGAGGGTAATGAATATTCAGCTAAAGTCATATTTTTGCCTCCGCTTCTCCCAGTGTGGTTAAAGTATGGATAGAATCTGTAACTGAATATCAGTGCTTTTAAAAATAAAACATTCACCCAGGTATTTTATTGTGGCTTGGACAGAGTACGGAGTTATTTGTACAGCTGGTTTACGGGTACATTCTCAAGGAACAAAAAGCTTTTTTTCCTCAGATTTATAATACTGCTCATCTTAGCCACTCATCATTCTTGCAAATGTATAGGGCCTAGAACATTTTAATGTCTGTATCTTATTTTGAGTAGTGTTGTTTGGCTCAAAATGGCTTGGGCTTTCCATCCCCATGGAGGCTCATTTTGCCTCTAAGAGTGACCCCTGTATTTATAAAGTTCTTTGGTCTGTCTCTGGATAAATGTGCTATATAAAAATACATGAGGCAATGTCATAATTTTATAAAAGTGTGACAGATCACTGAAGTAAGAGGGATGAATCAGGAGTTAACAAGAGGCACACATGTGTGCACATGGTACACAAAATTACAACCCTCATCATCCCCATCTTAGAACCAAAGACAGGCTGGCCAGGTACTAGAAGGTGCTTGGGCATGTCTAAATGACAGTCAAAGGTAGATACAAATGTGGCCAAATTTACTAACAACATTTTGAAAATTATTTTGTGGTGTGTGTATCTCTGTGTGTATCTCACTCTGTGTATGTGTATACAGGTATCACCCTCTGTATGTTTCTGTGTGTGTGTGTGTGTGTGTGTGTGTGTGTGTGTGTGTATGTGTGTTTATCTCTATAGTTCAGTTCTTGAGTATGAACTTTGAGCATGGTAATGTCCTCTCCCATTGTCAAAAAGTTAAGTTTGTCTGTGAGTGAAACTAAAATTGACCAGTTCTGAAACCAGTAGGTCTACTGTAGAGAGCCACCTCCAAATGCAAGTCTTTTTCCTGGCTCCCTGCAGCACCAAGTCTCTTGAGTGCCTATGGTTCCTCTGTCAACCTTAGGCTACTTTTCCCTCTCTGGGCAGCTGGTTGGTACTGGATGAGGAAAAGAACACACCTTCACTTAAAAAGTGCACCGAGAGAGAAGAAGCTGAGTGGATATACAGTTCAGAAGCAAACAAGAGGAAAACAAAACTTTCCCCATAAAGCCAAATTAAACAACAGTGGTGGGAACCAACTGGCAAACTGAAGCCCTGGGCTTGACTTGTGTGTGAAATACAGGTGAGCTCTGAATGAACGAGAGATGCAAGAACAGGCATATCTTCTTTTGGTGGCTTGAGAGATCTTGGTTGAACGAATCAGAACTCATATACAGGGAGGTAGGCAGGTGACCACCAACCCTCTAAACCAATCTCAGCTAATGTAAAGTTTATCAAATTCCTTGAATAATGATACTGTAAGAGTCATTATCATCAAGACCCAGTCTATGTTTTAAAAAAAGTCAAGATGTTTAACACAACATCAGGTTGATGCAAATAATTATTTCAAACACACACACAACATACACACACAGACACACACATACACACACACAGACATACACATACACACAGACATACACTGTCACACACACACATACACAAATACAGACACACACAGACACACACTCACACAGAGACACACATAAACTCACTCACAGAAACATATGCTCGCACAGACACACTCATACATATGCACACACATACACTGACACACACATATATACAGATACACACAGACACACACACAGACACACATAGAGACACACATAATCTCACATGCTCACAGAAACACATCCCGCACAGACACTCATTCACATACGCACACACATACACTTACACACACATATATACAGATACACACAGACACACACACAGAGAGACAAGGACACACACACACATGCCCAGAGAGAACTAGGAGGTCCCAGTATTCCGTAGAACGAGGGGGCTGCAGCTGTAGGCCGACAGCTCTCATACCCTCATTTGAATAATGTGTCCTGAATCTGTCACTTTATTCATCCCCTTATGCTCAGTGTACTCCACATCAACAACAAATTAAGTTGTAAATAAGAGACAATCATCACTTTTGTTTTTAAGCAGCTACTGCAAAGAGAATTTCAATGTATACTCCTTCCGATGGGAGGGGAAAGAGGTGCTAAAAGTTAGCTTTCAAAGGCACAAATACGGCAAAACCAACAAAAACAGAAAACCAACAAAACCAGAAACAGTTTACAGTTGCGGAGGGTGGGGGTGGTGGAAATCTTTTTTTTTCCCCCTAGAAGGTCCAGACATAACCAGTGGAGATTCATACAGGAAGCTATTAAAACAAGTAAAGACAGAGGTGAAGCCTCCTGGACTACACTGATAACTCATGCGACTTAGGAAACATCCCTGGGTTTTAATGGACAAGTGGTAACTTTGTTTCACACCTTCAGACAAATGAACAAGAAGAACAACCAATCGCATCACGGGTGCTGTCAGGAGTGGGCCCCACACTCATCTCTATTAACTCCCGAGAGTCCAGATTACTACTGCATCCACAGACAATGAAAGATGGGTAACGAAAACAGTCCCTACCTTCACATCCGAGAAGTAGGTCTTCAGCATGTTGGAGCTGGGGTAACGGGTGTAAAAGAACATGAGCTTTGCCTTTTTCAAGTGATTGGGTGATAGCCCTTCCTGCATGTGGGATGCAACTGGTTAAGGCATAAACAACATTAAACAAAAGGGTGTATCCCTCCTGTCCCCATCTCTCCACACACTGACAATGTGTCCAGTCCCCGTAAGCAGCCCTGGGAAGGCTGGGTGGTCATCCATACAGCTTCTGGAATTCATCACTAACTGGCCACCTTGTGCTCAGAATATTCGCTGCCTGTCTCAGGTTGCCAAAGGGAAGGGTTAGGATGGACAATTCAGCTACAGATTCTTGGCTATTGTCTGATGGGGATGTCCAAGCCCTCCTCCCCAGTTAAAGTCCAGTATGCTATCCATACACTTGTTGCTAAGGAGACAGCCAGCCTAAAATCCACTGCAGGGTCTTAGTCTAGGATCTTCCTTCTTTCTCCAGAGCTGCCTTCTCTCTGCGCTTTTCTCTACGCTCTGCAGTTTGCGACAGATGATTAAGGTAAAGCTGGCTACACAACACGTTATTTTAAACATGATCACACAAGCTTTGTGTTTCACCTATCGCTAGCTAACACAGTGAAACTTCAAGACTCAGTTTCTCCCACCTTGGTCTTGATTGTCTTTGATCTGTTTCCTTTAAAATAACAGCTCAAACTTGGGAGGGGTAACCTGGCTGGAGAGAACAAGAGTGGGGTGTTGCTTTTGTTAAAGCAACGGTCCAACACCAAATACAATGTGCCCGTCCTGGATTTATAGTTAACTCCTTTGAGAATGCCATAGAAGTTGGGGGCTAACAAATCAATACATGTGGGTTAGTAGATCAATAAGTAGCCACTTACCCCAAATAAGAAGGCCTATTTATCTAGAAACATCATCACCTTTTAGATCTGTAAACAGTGGCAACAAAAACAGTTCCCAGGAGAATGGCAGGCTAACCATAACAATCCAGGCTGCCCGAATCTCTCTCAGATTCTTGGCACTCCTCAGCAGGCTCCGAGCTGGGATGGCTCTGGTCACATCTGTGCCGCAGCCTGGCCCTGCCATTTCCTCAGCAAATTAATGGCTTTATAATTTATCAGAGATGAAGATGCACGTGGAGAAAATCAATGCGGTCCCCCACAAGGTCAATTAAGGGTCCTTCCTAGAGGCTCCTCTAAGGACTATCTCTTAAAGGAGAGTGGGAAAAATTAAGGTTGGAAAATAAGAGAGAGAGAGAGAGAGAGAGAGAGAGAGAGAGAGAGAGAGAGAGAGAGAGAGAGAACCCACATATCATATCATCAGCTACCTAGTGAAAACTGCACACTTTACAAAGAAATGTCAGATAAACACAAGATAGCTGGGAAAGAGAACTGGTTCCCAGTACTTCCCATTAGGAACGACACTGTGAATCTAAGAATAGTGGGGGACCAGAAAGGATCTAGAGACCTACACAATCAAATTAATATCGATAAGCTCTTGACTACTCCTGACCAAACACTCTGCCATGAATGTGTTCCGAAGACAAACACCCTCCTTTATATCCTAAGCTCTTAAAAAAAAAAAGATCCCCTTTCTTTTTAAATGGAAAAGTCAACTAGTGTGTGTGTGTGTGTGTGTGTGTGTGTGTGTGTGTGTGAACTGAGAATAAACACTGAAGAAATAAATTTTGATTTTTCTGTGTGCAAGCCAAAGCAGCTTAACTGAACTTGTGTTTTTGTTTAAGGTCCTTAATGATTACAAAGACGATAATTTATGACTGACATACTTGTTGTGCCAAGGAAAAGCTGAAAGGCCCTCTAGTAACCTCCATTAGACTGACGGCGAGAACTAAAGGAGACAGCACACTTCAGGGCCATCTGTCCAAATGGGTAAGTGAAATCATGGCTGCAAGCTGTCTCCAGCCTCATGATAAGAGTTTTAAGGGAGCTCAAACTTGGATGAATGTCTTCGATAGGGGATCTAATCTTTTCTTTCAGAAAGCCCTGCCCATGATTTGAAGTCCCAAATCTTGAAGATTTGGTCTCATACAAAAGACAAACTGTTTTCCACTGTCTCAGAGAGGCACAGGGTTGCCCAAATAGCCTGGGGCTTTCCATGCATCTAAATTTTGTTAAGATATTTCAGCTCTTTGTATTAAAAAAAAATCCCATTCTCCTTTGATCAGAATTTACAGGCTTTTTATTTAATGAAAAAAAAACTAAACAAACAAACAAAAAAAAAAACTAATCCACATATACTGATTTGGATTGCTCGAGGTTTTTTTTTTTTTCTTTTTTTTGCTTCAAGATGTTTCCGGTTGGTAATACCTAGAAAGATCTGTCCAAAGAGAACACAGCCTGTCTCTGTCCTTCTCGATCCTCTGTAATTAAGATAAAATTCTCATAAAATATATGTTTCTAATAAACTATTAAAAATAGCTAATGAAACATTTAAAAGCCAGCAGTTAGATAATCCTTTTTTTTTCCTCCTCAAAATCAATCTGAACTGACCAATTGGTTAATTTCCCTTTTAAGTGCTTGTGCTGAAAGCAACTGCTCTTCCAAGAAGGCACTAGCTGTTTCCTGGATACTTACACACGCACAATGACTCACGACGGAATAGATTCAGTAAACATACAGCTGTACTGAACACGGGCTGAGCTCCATTCAAGGCCAGGAAAGAAAATGAGCACAAATAAATATTAAGGAGGTGAAGGGGTGGGGGAGGGGAGGGGGTGCAAACAAGCGCTGTCCCGGCAGCTCACGCAGCTCAGCTTTGTCAAGACAGATGACATTCAATTCTATGTGTAATGCAAAATAGACAATAAGTGCAGAAACTTGAGATGGCTGCCAGGTGTAAAAAAAAAAAGAGAGAGAGACAGAGACAGAGAGAGAAGAGAGAGAGGAAAAAAAGAAAAGATGATAAATCCATAAATTAATGAAAGACATCTGCTCAGACATATAAAGGATATCAGGGAAGGAGAGGGCTACAGCTGAACTCAAGAGTTCAAACAACCTGAGAGCCTCAATGGGGTTTGTTTACCAAGCATAATATAGCCTTACCTAAACAGCAGCCGCAGGACGAACAGTCCAGGCAGCAAAAAGGCACACGAAAGAAGAATAGGCCCTGGAGGCTACAGGAAGAAAAAGAAATTTTGCTTCCTAGTTGAACTCTGTGTTTCAAGTGGCAGTTCCACATAGGGAAGAGGATTATCCCGTTTTTCTAAGCACTTCGAAACTGATTTCTTTTTTTCCCTTGTCTGAGACTTTCTCAAGAAAATTCAGTGGGTGGAAAAAGCACTAAGCTCTCACTTAGTGACAGAAACAGAGCAGGTCATTGCTCTCTTAGGAGTCTGACATCATCAGAGAGCTGGGTGAGGTTTTATTTGTTTGTTTTAATGACTTTTTTTTCTCATTTTTTCTTTAGATGGTTAGGTGCGTACAGCCATTTGGGATTTCATCTATGTGTTAAATTCTGAGGCTATCCAAGGCTTCTCAAAATGTCAAAGGTCACACTTCACACCTGTAATCCCAGTGTGAGAGTTGCTGAGGCAGGAGAATTGCTATGATCTCAAGGCCAGCCTAGGCTACATAAGTGGGACCTTGTCTCAACAAACCAAAAAGAACAAAAAACAATCATCATTTTCAACTGGTATTTTATAATTTGACATATGCCAGTCTATGCTATAAAACAGGTTTTCTTTCTCGGCCCCAAATAAAGTCACGTGACTTTTTTTTTGCAAATATCAAGCCCAGAGAACAGGCTGAAGACCTCCAGCAGTACATCTCTTAATGGTTCATCTGACAACTTGGTACTTGAGCTGGGTGGATGCAAATGTGAAAGGCAGACACAAGGCTATTTTTTCTTGAGATGCAAAGAAGATGAGGGACAAGAAACACCATGAAGAAAGACAATTGGCTAACTGATTCTCCGGGGATTTGAATAAAACTTATTATTTGATTAAACGGATTCATTTGCAAAGATACTGGACATATTGTTTTATACCCAAGACATGAGCTCTTTGACCAGGTGCACTGAAGATGAAGAAGAGGACTTCTTTCTAGAAGGACCACAAGGCTGTGAGCCTAGTAGTTCAAACATAAATGACTAACGCGCCCAGCAGAGCCTGTAGCCACTTGAGAGACAGGTATTCACCTCGGCTCTTTATCGTGACTACTTCATTGAGAAACAGGACTGCCCCTTGGAGTCAGAAGAAATGTTCTTGAAGAGGAAAATGATGTTGTCTTACAGTGATTGTTCAGTGGGCAAGTTGTTCGCCTGGCATGCAGAAGTCCCTGGGTTTGGCTCTAGCATGTTGGGGTTTTAAAAACTAAAAGTTATTTGTGACCATTTAAAGAACTGTAAAAACACTGTGATGGCGGTCCCCAAGTACCATCCTGGCACACGGCTAGTCCTTTCCATTAATATTGTTTTTCCCTCTAGGGCCTTGTAGAACAAACCTGAAGTAAATACTTCTTGCAATAATTTCTCAAGATTTTGGGGCTTTATTTTGTTTTGTCTTTTTTTTTTTTTGGTCTAAAACTGATTAGACAAAATGGTTCTGTAGGTGTCTGAGCCAGGTGAATCATGGGCACCGCTGCCCCGATGGAGAAAGCAGGTGCAAAGGGAGGCTGGTTTCCTGTTGTGGCTTGCCCGTCCTGTTTCCAAAAATTTGATCTTTTAAGGAGCTGACCAGTCACAGGTGCAATGAGTAGAGGGAAGCAGAAAGCCAGAGGTTAGAACCCAAAATGTGGGAAACAAAAATGGCTAATTGCTAGCAAGAGGCCCAAAGCCATAAATCCTGAAGGGAGGAAGCAACCCCAGAGGTGAGTAACCTGCATTTCAGGTGAACAGGGGTGTCTCCTGCCAGAACAGCTCAGAAGGGGATCAAAATAGCAGGAGACAGAATAGCCACTCCCCAAAGATGCTCCCATGTTTTCTTTATAGCCATGGGTGTGTGTGTATGGGGGGGGTACTCCTTTCCCTTCAAATCCTCAAAATTCCTCAGGGGATTTAGCTAGAGAGTATGCGGAGAGAGCTTATGGGACACTTAGGAAAACCAAAAGACATTCCTTTCCCAAGAAACCGAGGGGTGTGATCATAGTTGTCCGATCATGGTAAGAAGTCCAAAATGTAGAAAAAGGGCATTATTGTGGAGACTTTTGTGTGTATGTTCAGGATTTTGAAACCTAGCTTAACTGGTCACCAAAATGAGTGTGTGTGTGTGTGTGTGTGTGTGTGAGAGAGAGAGAGAGAGAGAGAGAGAGAGAGAGAGAGAGAGAGAGACAGACAGAGACAGAGACACAGAGATATGAGAGACAAGAGAGAGAGAGGGAGACAGAAGACAGAGAGACTGGTACTTTACTGTTTGTTTTAAAATGCAGTTCTCTGAGGTGCAAGGAGTCTAACCTTAGACATTAGCCTAACATGATGGCCCTTGTGGGGTGACTGTCAATCACTCAAGCTATCCTGTCTTCTTTCTCTTTCTCCTGCAGAGCAGGTCTGTTCCAGTCTTGTTGCTGGCTGGTAATACAGAACAAAACTGTGTGCCTTAGCTTTGGGGGCATTTAATATTGGGGTCTTGAACCAGCAAACAAACTCAGACTCAGATCGGAGACCTCAGTGGCTTTGTCTTGTCCAAGATGTTCTTATCTTCCTTAGAGTGGGAAGAGATGCTGGGCTGAGTGGCCCAGGAAGTCTCATGTTTCTGGCTTCAGCTCACTTTACCAGACTGCCCTGAAGGAATGAGATATTTCAACCATCCTGGGGACTTGGAACATCCACGCAGCCTCTAGAGTGGGCTTAGCTACTAAAATGTCAATTTCTAGTCATCAAGACGATTGCTCAAAATTCTCAATTTAGTAACAGCCAACTTAATTGCTAAATTTTATATCCATCTGGTAATTTATTATACAAGAGGCATGCCTCCACCTGCCCCCAAATGCTACTATTCTCCCCACCCCCCCAAAGACAAACAACCACAAGATTTAAAAAAAAAAAACATTGAAAGGATTCATTTGTAGAAGAAAAAAGTTATGGATTAAAAATCACAGGAACACAGAACAGAACTGCTAAAAAATCTTAAGTGGCATCACTACCTAAGTCAGGTTCACGACAGAAAAGAGTCATTAAAGGGGCTGTTTTTATGCAGCTGAGTTTTGGATTTAACTGTGTTCTCTCGTTTTCAAAAATAATTTGCTTTGTGTATGTTAGGACAAAAGATTTCTGTGTTTGACTGAGCAGGGGTCACTCATGCGTACAGGCAGCTGCCCGGGACCCATGGACAAGCCTTGGAGATGGAGAGGGACTAAGACCATCGGAATAAATCAGTACCTGCCCATTTCCTTTAAAAACAGTCTCACTTAAGATTAAAGAGAGAAGGCAAGGCCTCCCCACACCCATGGCTGTCTGTCCCATACCACAGCATCTTCATGTGAGATGGAGTCTGGTCTCGGTAGCCCACACAGCAGCCTCAAAGGCAGCTGACAGTAAGAATTCTTAATGGAGCCACAGGTCTGAAAACTGGCTTTTCTCCTTACTTCTGTCATGAAACTTAGCATCTTTATAAAATTCAGTATTTACAAGGTGTCGCCCCACCTCCACTCCCCCACCCCACCTCTGCTCTTGAGAAAGGAGACAAGAAAGTCGCACAGGAAGAAAGGCAGAAAAAAAAGCACTGTTGGGAAATCACCTTGGAAACTGTTACTAGAGGCAGTTAAGTACTTGTGGACGTTAGAGAGATGTTGGGGTTGGCTTTTAAGTTTCTCTGCAACCAGAAACACCCAGCTCATTGCTGTCACAAGCCTGTTACGGTGAGTAATAGGAAAGACAGCATTCTTAAGGAGGCTGTGCACTGTGGTCCATGCCTGTCATCTGAGTATTTTGGGAGATCTAGGCCAGCCTGGGCTACATACTGAAGCTTCTCAAAGTCCCCAAACCCAAACAAAGCTAAACCTCCCAGAACACACGGAAAACATACTGACTTATATCATCCTATACAGTGTGGGAACCTAAGCTCTTCGAAGATCTCCTTTGGGCTTTTGTTTATGCTTGTTCTTGAGGGGAAAGATAAAAGGATATTGCGCTTCCCGAATAAGGTGAGATATCAGACATATCTTGAAGATCTCCACACTCAGACTTTATGAGCGACAAAGAGAGTCCTTCTGCGGTGCTGGGTGGGTGTGCTGGTGAACAGGGGTGGTGGCTCAGATGGTGGGATGACATCTTGGTCCTCAGACTCGTTGTGTCCCGAGTCAAGTCTAAGGACTCAGGAGAGGCTCTGTCTTTTCCCGAGAAGGAGCCGGAGGGAGCACCTAGTGGACTCTGAAATGGGTAAGCCATCAAAGGCAGGGGAAAGGGATGGCGAAAGCTAGGGGTGGTGAAGCCTGCAGTGGCAGAGAGGGGTGATTGGTGCAGGGGCTGGTGGTGGCCACCAGTGGCCGGGCCAGAGGCAGACTGCTCAGATGAGTTTTTGCGGACCACCAGGGGAAGGGCTTCCGTCTGGTCTGTGGAACTAGGCATCTGCACATTGCCAAAGGTGTCCAGGGGGTTCGGAATGATGACATCACCAAAGCATTGCAGGCGCTGGTTGGCCGTGTGGAAATTGTGGTTTTCCCCATTGACTGCGAATCTGGCCTGGGGAATCTGGAGAGGTGGGAAGACCTGAGGAACCTGGCGAGAGGGTTTGGCTGAGAAGACTTTGACCACGGTGTCCACGACCTGTGACATGGCCGTGTTCAGCTCCTGTTTTAAGGTCTCTGCCAGATGCTTGCCTTCTGGCTGCAAGGAGTTTGGCCCGTGGTCTCTTTCTTTGTTGCTGCCTTCTCTCTTAGGCTTGTTCTCGGCCATCTCCTGCTCCCTGATGAGGGCTCGGGCCCTGTCGATGAACTGCCCTGGGTCCAGTTCACACATCTCATTGTCTGAGCGCCCCACCGAGTCCTGGGCCCGTGCATCCAGGATCTCCGAGCGCATGCTGTCTTCAGACAGGTCGCCATCTTCATCATTTTCAGAGTCGGTGCTGTCATAGACCTGGTAGAACTTCTCCTGCAGCTGGCGCAGCTGCTTCTGCATGTCTTCCAGCTGCTGTTTCAGCTGTCGGCGCTCCTCTCGCTTCTGTTCTTTTCGGGCTGAAACCAGCTGCTGGAAACTCTGTTGCTGCTGCTGGGGCAGCTTCTGCTTGCGTTTGTTTTCTCTGTAACTTTCTCGGGGACTCACAGACTGCGGGGCCATCTCTCTTTCGTTTTCATTGCCCCTTAATGCCACACTGGGGGAATGGCTCATACCCCGAATGATATTCTCAACCCGGGCGCGCTTTGCTCTCAGGTGCTCATCACATAAGCGATCCACATCAAACTGGCTCATAGTAGGCCTGCCAAAAGGGGAAAGACACTCTGGGGGGCTGTCTCTTGAAGAGTTGCTACATATATCCTCCTGATGTACTTCGGAGCCTGTGCTAGAGAGTCCGCTGGCTTGGAAACTGGGCTCGGTGCCACCGTTTTTGTTCATGTTATTTTTCAACAGCTGGGAAATTATAGTTGCTCCTGGAAAAGGCATCATGGCATCTTCATACGAGTTCGCCCTCTTCAGCAGCTTGCGGAGTACGTTCGACTTTTCCCCATCTGCGTGTTGCACCACAGAATATTCAACATCCTGCTCTGAACCTTGGGGATTCATGGCACTGAAAAATGTTGCCCTTGCCTTAGCAAAAAATGCAGATGCTGTCCCTACCGTCCTTTTCACTCCAATGTCAACCCTTCTCCTCTTGGTTTGCCGGCTTAAGAGGGCTGTGCTGTCATGGTCAGGCATCACTGGACAGTTATTGTGCCATCTTCAAAAGCTCGTCAGCTGGGCACAGCTCAAGAATCCCGGGACCCTGGCCAACAGAACAAAAGGCTGATGAATCATTTTCTTTAAATTTCTCCAAATTTCCTGACCTCAATCCTGAATCAAATGCAAAATGCACAGGCTCTGGGATTTATGGCACATCACAATTATTGCAATTTATCATGAACTCCGCTTGAAATGAAACATTTTTAAATATTTCTGCTCCACTGGTTTAAGATGGATTAAGATTAAAAAAAAAAAAGCAAAAACTGCTTAAGCACCAGTAATATGATTCTCTTTCACAAATGCCTAAAATGATACTGTTTATCTTCAGAAGAAATGGCAGATTATAAGAACACAGCCTCTGACGAGCAATTGATTAAATTTAGGGGCGTTGAGACTCTTATTATAAAAGAAGAGGGGAGTGGGTTACTCTTAAGAAACAGGGTGAAAATTTGAGGCTGTGTGAAATTTGGATGAAAAATCTGATCTGGAAATCACGGTGGCTTTTACGTTACTGAAGGAAGGGAAGGCTGAAATAGGTGTAGCTATCTTGTTACAGAATTTAAAAGCAACTTTGACACGTGTAACCCAGGAAGAATGTAGCGACCAGCATCTTCAGCATAAGTGGTGTGTTAAGTACTGAGATGAAGGCAGAGACACTCACTGTTCAGTACTGCTTATTTAGTACAGCTATGGGTTTTGATCAGTGAATTCACAAGTGGGGATGGTATCTGTGGCTGAGTATACATCTAACATGGAGATGTTTAGAACGGGTCACATTATCCTTTTGGTGGTGTCAATTGTTACAAAGGTAGAGTGGCTATTGCCATGTTTTCAGGAACTAGTATGTGCAACAGTGCATACTGGACCAGGCAAGAACACACATATATCCAATACTAGTTTTGTTCTGGTAAGTCTGTCAACATAGTACTTGAAATGGCTAAGAAACTACACACATCATTCCTGGTTCTTATTGCCTATGCCAAGTTGGGGTGGGCACTAAACAGAAGAAGCAACTGGAGAAAGATATAAAAGAAACAAAATATCAATCAACTATATGAGAAAGGGAGGTAGATTCTTTGTATGCAAACTAGCATTTTGGGGGGAAACCAGATATAAAAAGGAAACACCCTTGCCTACATTTTATCAAAGGCCCTTGATACATTGTGTCACTTAGTAAATAGCAATGCTAGCCCCAAATTTTATATGCATGCAGGAGACAGCACATCTTTTTGTTTACAATTAACATTTTATGAAGGAAATGAAAATACTGCCTTCATGCCGGGTTTATCTGATATTGAACTTCGCGTTTGCTTTACAGAGCACAGCTTCACAATAACAGGGTCCATTGCCAAAGGCAGCGTGTGGAGCACTTGGACTCTCTCCCATCTCTTTCGGTTCACCTGTAAAAACATCTACGTGCTCCCTAGGAGTGCATCTGTGGATAGTTCTAAAGAATGACTACCCATGCAAATAGGCGTCATTTCAGCATGAAATAACCTGTAAAAGTCAAGAAAATGTTCCGTGCTTATATGGCAACAATATGGTGTGGGTTTTTTTGTTTTTGTTTTTTTTGTTTTTGTTTTTCATGATAAATATTTCATCATGCTGCGTTTGCTCTTGGTGTTCTTTTCTGATGACAAAATGTTTTTTTAAAAGAGCCAATTTTGAGGTATCTTGAAGGCAGAATGTTATTTCTTTCTAGAGATCTTTGTATGTCTAAAGGTGAAACAGTTCAAGACAAAATACCCTGAACTTGGGTAGGACTGAGGGATCTCAATGCCTTTAAGTTCAACATTAAGTTCAGAACAACCGAGACTCCTCTCCCACTAATAATACAACTAGTTTGGGGGTGATAAAATACAGCAACACATATTTTTCTGGCAACACATTGAGTCTGATAGGTAATGCGGGCACAGCTGTCAGGTCAGGGTAAGGAGAGGAGCAAGGGGACAATTTTCCAGGAAGACTCTTTTGTGCACATAGCAGCTTTCCAAACCAGGAGTTCTTGCCATAATTTCAATATTTTTACATCTTTTGTATGTATGTGTAAATCTACATTTTTCTCCTTCAATATCCCCTGTAAAGCACACAGACCTCCAGTGAAGACTGGAAGAAACGCCTTGCTGTGTCTTTCCCCCCTATTCACCTTGCCACACAGATGGTTCCTCCCTCCTGCCCATCTTGGACTCTGGAGAGCACCTCTGGAGCAGAGGATCCCAGAGGACAAGCCAGCGTGTTGATGAGCACAAGGTCAGCCCAGGCATCCTTCCTCTCCCAGCTGCTGTTCACCTCTACTTCCTTTCATGTTGCCTAGATATCAACAGCTGCATCCCTGCCTCAAACCAGAGCCCAGAGGAGGCCTGGTTCTTCCTCAGGTAGGATGATACCACTCTTTATCTTCACTGGAGAATAAATATTAATTAAACATACACACTGGAATCATTGAGAACCAATATGCTGTCACTCCCTCTAAATTCACCCAACTAAACTGATTTAAAAATATTTCATCAGGTATCATTTAAAAATTAAATAGTAATTTTTTTCTAGTTTGGGTCAGAAGAAAGCCAATACTTTAGGTCTGTAAAATATCCAGCTGAGATATAAACAACAAAATAAGTGGGGAAAATTATTTTACCCATCAAAACAGGACATTATTTTGATAGGTATACATTCATTTATTTCTCCAAATAGCTTTATGATTTAAACTTAGAAATTAAAAGAAAGTGACCAAGCATATCAGGGTCATAATCTAGGGACATTATAGGCAAGATTAAATAATAGTAGCTGGCTGACCTAGTATCATATAGTATTTCATTAATCAGAATGTATAAAAAATATTTTTCCACATCAAAATGCACTATCAAGTGTCCATGGTGAAAGGAAGTCAGACGAAAACATTTTCAAGGGTTCCTATAATTTCCAACCCATAGTTTCCAGGATGGTACATAAGGACTTAGTCAACCACAGTGTCAACCCACTAAGCTATCCAACAACTCAACGTCTTTTAGCATGTGAACTGAGCTGTGGTTTGTCAACTCCAATTACTATGGATTCCTATAATGTTTTCACTTTAACATCAATCTTGGGTTTAAGCAGGCAATATAAAGCCCTTGGGCTAGTCTTGCTGAGAAACATTATAAAGAGGATGGGAAAATAGTGACAATAGACTCTGGACCCAAATGCACGTGTTTTATAAAGCCCTCCTGAACTCAGGTGGAACTAATGTTAAAATGTTAAATTATTAAACATGTGTTGCACCGATTGGTACGCAGCCTACACACAAGCTCTCAAACACTTGTACAATAGACAGCATGAAGCAGCAGATGCCACTGCTGGGGAGGGGGTATAGGAAAGCAACTTAAGACATAGCAAGTCAGATCTAACTGCTCCAAAAGATTCCTCCTTGAAACCCACATTCTGTTTCACAAAGAGGATCCATGCAGATATACTTTTGACTTCATGTTGTAAAAAAAACCGAAAAAACAAACGAACAAACAAACAAAAAACCCCCACAGTTTTCAGTACAGAATTTCAGAGAAACACAGCAATACGAAGTGACGTGGTGCAGGGCTCGACTTTAATAAAGAACTTATTTTGGGGAGGGGATGTGTAACTTTTACTACATCTATCTGGATCCCAGATTCTAGACAAAGAAGTGTTTCATTATGGTAATTATCCAGATAGTTCAGAGAAATCTTTTCATGAGGCATGGGCCAGAGTGTAAGGCTGGCATGGCTTCCTGCTAGAGTTATTCAGCTATCTGTTCAGATTGATAAAATTATTTTAGAAGAAATGACTTAGGTTTTATTTCTTTTACAAATCATCATAAAATGGTTTCTAATGATTTAAGCCAGTCATATAGTTTCAAGTGGAATAGCATGAACAATAGTTTAAGTCATTCTGAAAATCAGCCTGAATTCAACAGGGGAAAATCAGAAGCTTTGATTCACACACACACACACACACACACACACTCACAGACACACACACATTCACAAACACAAACATTCACACACACATGCGCGCGCGCGCGCGCACACACACACACACACACACACACAAGTCACTAGCTGTCCCTTCCCTGCATTTCCGCTAAGTAGCAACTTTTGACTTAGAGATATTTCTGCATGCTACGAGGTGAAAAAAGCCTTTGACATTTTTGAAGAACCTACTTGGCACAAGTTAATACTTTAACAAGTTGTGATCTTATTGAAAAAAATATTAAATTTCCTTTTACAGGAAGAGGTTTTCAAACCATAACCATTTCACTTACTGGTCTTCATCTTATCTAAAATTCCATTCATTTTTAACTTGAAAAATGAACACAGAACATTTTTTGAGATCTGCCCAACATATTGATTTCCGCTTACTTAAACGTTGCAATTCATCAAATCGGGCAAATAAAAGAGTGTGAGAAATAATCTTTAAAATTACACTCACACTTTTTTTTTCTTTTCGCAGAAAAACCAAAATGGTCAGAATTATCTTTTGAAGCTTGGGATGAACTAGACATAAGACTGAAGAAATTTCCTTCCAATTTATACAAATACTGCATTTGAAACCTATAGCAACACATGGCCATCCATACTGTTTTCATCTTATAACATCGACAACATTTGATAATTTCCTTAAAAATTCTAAGAAGTAAAACTTATATTGGTAGCACTGATGGCCTGTAGTTGAAACCATAATTGAAATGATACAGGCGATCTGTGGAGAGGGATGTTAAGAGTTGAGGAAATAAGAAGGGCCTGGTAACTTACAAAGTGAGTCAGCTCAGGCTTGGAGGCTGCACATCCTGCTTGCAAAGGAACCAAGCTAGCCATGAACACATGGAGAACAAAGATACATGTTGCATATGCAAGACTTCCCTACAAAGTGATGACGAAAATAAGTAGAATTCTGCAGAACAGGGACATAAAATATCAATAAATGCCAAGCATGGCTAATGCTTATTAAAAATAAGGTATATCAACATAGCCATAGGTAACATTTTAATTATTAAGATCTTCAAAAGCATACAAAGAAAGTGCTAGAAAGGGAGCAATGGCTAATGCTTATGTTAAAAGACTAAATGACAAGTATCTTTCATTTTCCTGGAAACAAAGACAAATGACCGCCAAAAACCCAAAACTAATCAACAAGAATGTTCATCATCTGACCTATTCCCATAGAGCTCAAAGAAGTGTTTAAAGACACAGACCCAGAAGGTTAAGTTTTAAGAACCTAGACAGACTTACACAGAGCTCCCAACATCTCTCCTGCACAAAAGCAGACTTCCTTCTTTCTCACTGCAAGCAGCCTGTTTCATTCTGAAAACACTCAGAAGTTCTTGCAAGAAACTCTTCATAGAACAGGCTGCCCAGATCTTCCATCAAATAGTAAAGCCCAGCCCTCTCAAAGACTTAGCTTCTCCCTCTCCATCAAAGTCCTATCTAGGACCTGGCACATGTCTGATACAATGGCAGGCACGGTTCACTTTATGAGAGTATTTAACATAGGGCTTGAAAGAGTTTAGGCACATACCTATTCTTCTGGGGCAGGGAGAGAAAGCACACTACAAAGACAAGCTTTAACAGTAGTCACAGTTGTGAACTGGCTTTGGTATTTTAGGCAGTTACAAACTACCCATTGCTGTCCAAAACACACACACACACACACACACACACACACACACACACACACACACA